AGTTACCTGAAAGTCTCCATGCGTGGCTCTGTGTAAGGGTTCTAAGCTGGCTTAAAGTGCAGTTTCGACATCCCTGAAAAGCATGATCGTGTAACCAAAGTTAAGATTCAATGACAAACTTAAGGAAAAGTTTGAGAAAAAGTCATTTAATACACCAATCATGTCTCCCAATGTAAGGTCCCAATCACATATTAAACCTTATCAAAACATGGGATCATTTAACCAATTGAAAATGAGATAACAAAGTTCCAAAGAACATGATGCTAACATTGAAATAGTTCCCAACTGACTATTAGTAGGGAGACCCATCAATAGAAGCATTTGACAATTACTAGTATTATACCTTCAATTTGATGGAACTCTGCTAGGTGAGTCCGATCAGTAGGCTTATTTCTGAAGACACGGTCAATCGAGAAGTGCCTCTCGGGCACAAAAGGTTGCTGCAGCAAGATAGAAATCTTTTATACTTATGAAATTTGGAAAAAAAATGTTCTAGTGAAATCTAGATATCACTTAGAAACATAAGTCAACTATGGATCGAGGGTTGAAACGATAAGGGCAAGTGTGGTCATACCTGTGCTAGTGCATAAATTTAAGCATCGTAGAAGAGAAAGTCATTGTGTGAGTATGAAAAACATTCTTGTTTGATTTTTCTCTCTTCCAATTATAATTATACCTGCAACGCAAAAGTTAAGATTCAATGACAAATTAATGATAACTAATATGTATTAGTAAGCATAGATACAAGTCATTTACCCTCTTAATCCATAATCTTCCGGCAGTGTCCTTGTAGTAGAAGGAGTTACATGCAAATAATTTAACCTTAGAATTAAGAGAGATATTCATTAAGATGTTATGGAGCAACCGAGGAAAGGCTGTTTCAAACAGCAATATTAGTGACTAAACATTGAAGATTTGAACCGTTTAGAAAAAAGGTGTCATGAGAAGCACGAGTAGGGTGCTGGAACAAGGCTTCAAATTCCAGAAGCTCCATCCATGTCCACTGGTAGAAAGAATCACTTAGTTGACTGGAAGAAGGAAGACATGAACGATTATAGGTCACAGAAAAATTGCAATTGCGCTCTTGCATTTTCTATTCGCTGGAAACTCTCATCGCTCAATGATTGATAGATGCTTGAGGTGGGCCTAGTATCCGCTCCTGGGTGAGCGTTTTAACATGGACCACATTTTGATTTATCGGTCTGTTCGTGCTATTAAAAAAGGTAAACATGTAGCCTCTTAACCTTACCTTTCATTGATTCTCCTCTTCCATTGCCTCTTAAGTCTTAACCTTACCTTGCACGGATTCTCCTCTTCTATTGAACCTAAGAACATCAACTGTGAGAGTAAGAACAAGTATAACTTCATTTGTGAATCTTAAGATTCTCTAGAATCAAATTTATAAATCGGTATCACGCTATATCTCGAGACGCATAACCAATCGATTTAATTTACGGAGGTGGAGGGGCAGTTACCATGGAGTCTGCGTGTGTCCAACTCGGGAAAATAATGATTCACAACGATCTGAGCAGGGAACTATGGTGGTTTAATTAGAGAGAAAAATATAATGGAGACGACGACGTGAGGATTGCAACAGCGCAACGAGGCATGCCGAAGGATACAACAACCGGGCTGGAGGTGGAGCACACCGCATTAACTGTTGTGATTGGGTGTGGCCAATCTTCGGGGAAACTCATCGTACCATTGAGTTGCATCCGGTTCAGAAATATTGTGGGTGT